ATATGAATTAGATTCCTTCTGATGGTGAATTAAAACAAATAATGGACTTTTTTTATTTTATTTTTTTGTGTGTGTTAATTTATAAATATCACTTTCAAAATCATTGAAATCAAATGATAAATATATTTTTAAATGTCAATGAAAAAAAATGTTTTTGTGGCCTACATGATATTGTCTTCTGAAGGAAGCATGCTTTCCTGAAATGATTTAACACCATTGTTCAAAGTGTCATTTGCCCTTTCTTTGTTAAACATCGTGGTAATAGGAGAAGTACCTATATGACGGCTCGTAGTTTTTAATTACCACAATTTCACTTTGTGACGTGTAATTCAGAAAAGGTGCTGAGTTAATAGTTTGTGATAAAAGATAAGAGGCTGGGAGAAGGCTGCTTTCCCGTGGGAAAAAAAAGTCCGTACTCAAAATAAATATTGGTAACCTCTGGAACTTCCAGTGACTTGCAACATACTAACTGATGTTAAGAATTGACTTGAGCCAATCGGATTCTAACGTTCAAACATCCTTGTTTCTGGTATTGTTCCAGAACTGCTATGTCCAAATGAAATCTTAGTTTCCTATTTTGAGAGGTAGATACCTTCAGCTCAACAGTTGTTGTTAACTAAAGTTGATATGAGGGACATCGTTTGAATATAACTTATTAATAGTTAGAAGCCAAAAGGTAGCATTATTCACTGAGATGTCCACCTTTTACTTATGCCACCTGCGAGGTTTGGAATTTTTGATGAATTCAAGATATGCCAAGTATCTCCCTTCTCTGTGAATTCCATTGTGTGAGTTGAGTTTCACTTCACAGCAACAATGACTCAACTCAGTAGCTCAGTTCTTGAAAATCTCACCCGACTTGATTTGCCTTCATGTTTCCCCTAATTGAGCATTTTGAATAAGTTCTTGCTTGCATCATAGATGCTAAGGTCCAAAGTCCTGGGAAGGCTTTCTTCTATAACTGATTTTTTATCTTATTTTATTAGAATACACAGTGTTACAAATTATCCTGTGACAAAATAAGAAACAGAACTTTTACATGTCTAGTTCTTCTACCCTCCTTTCCTGATGACATAGCGGATATGATGGCTCCAGATCCCTTAATTCTAGATCAGTGGTTTCCAAACGGTGTGCCAGGGCGCCGTGACGGGCACACGGTGGCGCCGTGAAATGTTTCCTCGGTGCTATGATTTTAACACCGTGAAACATTTCTGCTGAACAGGGGCCCAGTCGGTTGCCGCAGTCCTTTAAGACTGCGACCAGGCCCCTGTAATTGTTGGTCAGCCAGCTGGGAGGAAGTAACAGCTTGTCACTTCCTCCCAGCTACATGCAGGGAGAAAGCGAAGGAGGGAGAGGAGGCAGCAGCAGTAGCATGAGGAGCTGCTCCAGATCCCTCACTCACACCAGCAAGCAGGACCAGGAACCCAAGTCATAATCCTGGACACATAAGGTAAGCTAACAGGAGGGTAGCTGGAGATATTAAAAAACTCTTGTGTGTGTAAATGTGTGTGTGTGTGTAGGTTTATGTCATGATGTGTGTGTCAGGGTGTGCATCTGGGTGTGTGTGTGTGCAGACATCTGTGTGTCAGTATGTGCATCTGTGTATGTGCATCTGTGTGTCACGGTGTGTGTTTTTATGTCAGTTCGCGTATCTGTGTCATGGTGTGTGCATGTGTCAGTGTTTGTGTGTGTCAGAGTGCGTGTGTCTGTGTGTCAGAGTGTTTGTGTGTGTTTATGTTGGTGTATGTGTGTGTATATATCGGTGTATGCGTGTGTTAAGGTGTGTATGTGTATGTGTCGGTGTGTATCTGTGTGTGTGTGTATGTGTCTATATATATTTGTGTTTATGTGTCAGTGTATTTATATTTATGTGTGTTAATGTGCATGTATATCTGTGAAAGCATGTATGTATGTATGTGGTAGTGTATGTGCATACATCCAAGCAGTCAAACACCAGCACAACATACAAACACACCCCTGCAATCTAACACAAACCACAGACAAACACACCCCTGTATTAAAATACTAAAAGTATATACAAACACCAACACTGTACATTACATTATAGTGTCAGTAAATGCTGCAGCTCTGTTTGGATATACAGCCTAGAAATTCTGA